AGCATATTAGCTGGGTGAGATCTGGAAGAGGTCACCGGGAGGGGAGGTGTTGTGTTTTCAGTCATCCTTTCGTCTCTCTTGGCCCGTTCCCTTTACAGTTACAAATTCCTTTGTATTGCACATATGGACCAATCAGCATTTGGCTCTCTGAAATACCATTGCCATGGTCTGGGATTATTACCTGATAGAAGAACAGGCACAGAATTATTCTAACCATTACCACTTCCAAGGCTCAGAGAGAGAGAGAGGGGGAAGGAGGGAGAGAGAGAGAGAGAGAGAGAGAGAGAGAGAGAGAGAGAGAGAGAGAGAGAGAGAGGAGACAGGTGTGTGATGTCAGAATGAACTCTAAACTGGGCATCTAGAAAAGTACTGATCCTAACCTTAACATTTACCTTATCCAGGTACAGTGCTAAATGTCTTGGAAACTCATTGGCAGATGAATGGTGTCATTGTCATTATAGAGGTGAGAAGACTGGGACTCTGACCAATAAGGTAACTTGTGTTGGGAAAACTCTGGAAGTCTGAAAAAAAAAATCTACAAGATCTACTAGAGTTTGCATGTGCATTGAAGAAAACAAGATGTATATGTAACTGGAGAGAGAGAGAGAGAGAGAGAGAGAGAGAGTGTGTGTGTGTGTGTGTGTGTGTGTGTGTGTGTGTGTATGGTGTGTGAGACAGAGGGAGGAGGGGGGGTAGGGGAGCAGAATACAGTCCATGCCAGGGAAAATACACTCAAGAAGGAGGCTATGTGATGTCATATGCCTGTGACATCAGCATTCTAGAAAGTGGGACAGGAGGACTTGGAGTTAGAGGCCAGCCTGGGCGATGTAATTTGACTGTGTCACAAAAGCGGGGGGAGAGAAAGGGGAGGTGAGTGAAGAAATGAAGAAGGCTGTGGAGCAGGATCAGCCATGGTGGCAGCTGCTCCTGGAAGCTGTACTTTGTTGATTTTTTTCTGTGTTGTTAAAATCTCTGCCCTGCCTGCCCTGCTCTCTAACCTTGTTCTTCATCTTCCCCCACTTTGGAGCTAGATTCTCACTACGTAGCTCAGGCTTCAAATTCAGACTCTTGGCCTTCAGCCTCTCTAGTGCTGGGATTATAGTTGTGTCAGTTTTCCTGATTCTTATTAGTGTTTAGACATTGCTGAATTGCTTCAAATGCTCTTTATATTGGCTCTGTAAACATAGCCAACTTGTGTTTTGGGGGATATGGCCTGCCCCCAGTTAGGTTTTTCTGATCCCAGAGGCCCTTCTCAAAAATAAGACCTAAATTCTAAACCAGTATATAGAGTCTAGGACAAGTAATTTGGAAAGGAGATCTACTGTATTTTATCTTTTTGTGTGTGTAAATGGGGCAGCTCCTTATTTCCCACACTTGCTAAGGAATATCTTTTTGGAGTAGAAGGCAAGAGGCAGAACTGTTCAATGCAAACTGTTGATCTACTCGTGGGGGCTAGTTTCCATTATCCCCTCTAGGCCTAGCATTCTGTGCTTCATGGGTGCACAGCCTGGGGCCTTTTCTGTTGTAGATTACAACTAGGTTTGCCTGATGGAAGGGAGGGGCAGAAGAACTTCTTCTCACCCTGTGGCTTGGCAGTAGCCGTTTCCCCTTTCTGAGTCATGGATCCTATTGGATGGCATCTTCTACATCTCTCACTGGGTTCCAGTAACTGCTCCTCCCTTGTTACTCCAGGCGTAGGAGGTAGAACGGCTTTGAAGGCCTCCTCCAGCATCCCATCACCCTCTGTAAATATTCCTTTTATTAAACATTCCTCTGCTACCCCTGAATGTGTCACCATTTACTACCTGAATCATCACTGCCTTACTTGATTCTGCATAATTTCCATATGTGACATACATGGATAGCAGAGTCAGATTGCTAAGACTGACCTTTAGTGGCACACACACTGCACTGAAAATAAAACCACAATTCAAAAAAGTACACTATTTTCTTTCAAATCAAGTAAGTTAACAGATTAAAATGACTGTGAAAACAGCACTGCCTGACACATGGCCTTCAGCTCTAAGTAAATTGGATTGTAACTAGTGTGAGTGGCTAAAATAATACTCCTTCCTACACCCTTTCAGGCGATCCCAAATGGCTTTTGTTTTGCTTTGTTTTGTCTGCTTTTGAGATTATGTAGCCCTGGTTGGCCTAGAACTCGATATGTAGACCCAGAGGGCTTTAAATCAAGCATTCTCCTACTTCTGCCTCTTGAGTGCTGGGATTAAAGGTATGTGTCACCACACCCATTGATAAAATGGTTTTTAAACTTATCGTAATGCTGTTGAGTGATTGGCTGTATGTCACAAGTGCACTCAGAGAGGACATACAATGGAAAGGAATGAACTTTGCTAATCCTTCCAACTGAGAAGCACCAGGCTCATGATCCTTCAAGAAGAAATGTTCATCTGCAGAGGGCAATGCATCTCTGTGAGTAGCCCAAGTAGGAGCCCTGCCCAAGTCTGGAAAACCATTAGATTTGGCTTAAGCTAAGTGAAATAAACAACCTTGTCCCAAGTGAGAGCTAATTGTTCTCCTCTGCCTTTCAAAGTTAAGTTATCAAATTCTAAGCCAGAGTGGGTTGTTTTTCTTAGTCCAAGTCCAAATCAGAGCTGTCTTGACTCTAGCATAAGGTCAATCCCTCTGCAAAGTGCACTGACATTAGGGAGGAGAACGTTGAAGTTTAACAAGCGATGCTGAACATGGGGTGGTATGGTTTGGCCTCCAATGCCAGCTTGGGTGGTTTGGGGATGAAAGTTTATAGTTTATAGCACATGGGGCTGGCTGTAGAGTAGGTGGTGTGGGTTCTATGGTTGGAGGTTTCTGGAGCATGGGCTGTTCAGTGGTTGTCTTGGTTCTAAAGTTCTCGACATTCATGTCTTCTATGGACTTGACAGCAAACTTGGCTCTCTATCAGATCCCTAGAGAGCCAGGGTTCCAATCCAACAGCAGCACTTTCCAAATCTCTCTTGGAAGGGCGACTGGGTTTGCACTGAATCATCTAGAAACAGCCTAGCACAGAACAGACAACTGGGTTCCATTCCAGGGCACGTTAACTTAGGGTTGGCATTCTCAGGTGAATATTCACTTACCATTTTTCTCCCTTTTCACACCAACAACAGTTGGAAGCAAAAAACACAATCAGGTTCTCTTTTCTCAAACTCAACCCTGTGATATGTAAGGTGTTTCTCTCATCTACCTGGAAAATGCAACTAAAACAGGCACAGCTGATGGGACAGGGTCTATAAGGAGGAAATTGTTATATACCTTCCAGGTATTACTTTTATCTAAATTGCTTTTGAAATGTCATGAACAATAGGCGATTGTTAGAGGGAGTTTTGACATTCAGTTTCTTCTACGTATAAATTGGTGCAAATGAAGCAACAGAATGTAGTCATCAACATACAAGGAACAGAAGCACATAAGAAAATGGAGTTTTAAAGCCTGACTAGTTCTTAAATAGTGGTTAAACAGAATTGAGGAAATGGCTCAGTGGTTACGGTCCTTTTGTGAAAACTTGAGGACCAGAGTTTGCATGTCCAATATCCACATAATCGCTGGTAGACAGAGACAAAGGACCTCCAGAACAAGCTGGCTAGCTAGACTCATCATGTTGGTGATCTCTTCATTTGATTGAAAGATACTGTCTGAAAGAATAAAGTAGAAGATCCGTAAACCTGGGGCCTTTATAAACACACACACACACTCGTATGCATATACACACATTCATGCATGGAAAAAAATGTGCATACCATGCTTAAAGTTGCCATAATAATGGAAACAAACAAACAAACAAACAAACAAACAATTTAAGCAGCTTAAGTTCTGATACTGTGTGCTCCCAGGTGTATCATTTTGTTTCCAAAAGTACGATGTCCATTTAAAAACCTTCTCAGTTGTTCTCAATAGGTGTGGGGCACAGTGTGGTGGGGTGAGAGACTGTAGTTAATATTTTTTTCATTCTGAGATTTTACAAAGACATCTGATAAAAGGAATCAAAATTCTAGATGCAAACTAACCAGAATTTTCTGCTTAAGGATCATACCATGGGTCTCACTATCCCCCTGAGTGTAATTTCTTGGCATGAAACACTGGGTGGAGAGGGGGGTACTTATTTATACCTGTCTAAATCTTAGTTAAAATTAAACTCTGTCTGATATGCTTAAACTTATACAAACACTGATCATTTATTATTCTTTTAAAAGAAAAAGCTGATTTGATTCACATAATTTGTATCAGAGATGCTTAGTTACTTGGAGTCTTTCTAAATGATAACTAATTATAAAAAAACAGCTCTGGGTAAACATGAAACTTGAGAAACAACTAAATTTAAAAAATTAACAGCCATCCTACAATTTTATCTGCCCTCAGATAAAATGGTTATATTCTAATGACCATGTCAGAAGACTGAAAACTGATAACAAAACTCTCTTTGAATATCAAAAACTCCACTGGATATTTTAAAAGTTTAACTTATACCAATTGCACATTTTAAAAGCCTGTCAAAAATTAATTTGATCTTTATTTTTACTTTCATTTTACGTAAAAGACACCATGTCTACACTAACTGCAAGCTGTCCTTGAGGAGTGAGAGCATTGAAGACATCCACTTTTTTGTTTTATATAGTTCAGTTTGTAGCATTTCAGATGTGTTTACACCATAACTCTGACTAAACGTACACACTGAATTACTTTAATGCTGAGTTTACACCATGCCAAACGTTTGGAAATGTATTAAGATATGACTCACAGTTACGTGATTTCTTCTGTAGTATGTATCAAAATATCTTCTCTCAAAAATACAGACAAAAGAGTTTGGCATCGCGCAATCAAACATCTTACAAAGTGGGTCTGTGTGTTAGTTATGTTCCTAGTATAAACACCAGAAGAATTCTAGTATACCTGAAGAATAGACTTGAATTTTCAGAGTTTGATCCTAAAATCTGACCTCAGATACAACTGTGAAAAATCCTCCTCTACAAAAAACTGAAGACTAATTAGAATTGATTTTTTTTTTATTATTTCTTTGTAAGAGGCAAATTTCTGAAGTTTCCTTCAGTAGCCTCCTCACAATAGACAAGACAGAATAAATAATCTGACAATATGACAGAGCTCATAAAGGGTGGGCATCCTTTCAAGGGTGGCACAGTAGTGATTGGAGAGGACTCTCACATGAACATGCACAGTAAAAGGGGCCAGTGACTTTCAACTTCATGGTCCAAATAAAGAGTCCATTAAGCAATCACGAGACAGCAACTTGTCTGTTCTGGTTGCTTCATTGCTTGGACGAATTGACTTCCTAGAGAATGAGTTTCATTTAGTCTGACTGCATTTATAACGGCAGTGGCATCAAAATGAAAACAGGAGGCAGTAACCACGTAGCGTTTTAAAACAAATTGCAAAACCACATGCTTTGTCATTCAACAGGAAAGCTTAAATCAACTGGATAGTAAATGTAGCCAGTTGTCCTTCAAAGGCCACATAATGTGAACTTTGTACATCCCCTGACACTTTCCACAAAGGGCCCTGTCATCAAATCTGAAGCCCAAGCCACCTCATAAAGTCTGCTTCATTTGCTTTCTCAGAGCACGGCCATTTTGTTTATATTCCAGCCCTTTATGTTTCTCCAAAGAAGCCATTTAAAGGCTTTTGCAGGGCTTCCCTCATGAAGCACATCCTCACAACTGTCCACAAAGGTCAGTCTGTTTACTGGCACTGGACTGGGTAGAACAGGAAGTTCGCTGAGCTTCTTGTGTTCTCAGTGAAGTCCGACAACAGAGGACTGAGCGCATTAGTCTCAGGACCGGTGGCCTAAGGATGGCAAAGACCCAAGGATCAATTATAGAGTTAACTGATAAAAATCGAAGAGCTTGGAGGTCCCACTTTTCCTTCAGGGAAGAGGTTTCATCCATATAAGCAAAGATCTGGAAGAGGCAGAGAGAAAATGTTGTTAGGTCTATATTGTGAACAAGCCGGCTTAGATTCTGTGTTAAGTTTCTTGAGATTAAGCCTTGTTTTGTGTGGTAGTGGCAGTGAAAGGATGGGTGGCAAAAAATCTCCTACACAAATCATTACATCATCATTTTCCCATGAACTTAAAGAAAGCATGCATGTTAAGGTTACCATTAACGTTAGTGTCACACAAAACTTTCAGTCTTGTCATTGGTAATGTAGGGAGATGGTGTCTAGAATAGAATCTATTTTCCCCTCAGATGGTCTCATTATATAGTCCAAACTGTCCTCAAACACATGATCTGCCTAGAACTCCCCCCACCCACTCCAGATAGGATTATAGGTGTGAGCCATTGTGCCTTGCCGAATAGAATATTTTAATAATATCAGCAGTGATAGTATTAGTAGCTACTATTTACCTGATATGTGTGTTGTGAAATGTACCACGTCCTAATGGGAAGTGTAACAGATGAGGAAGTAAGTTCTGGGAATGTTAAGAACTTTTAACATTCCCAAATACCTGACCTGATGATTCTGCAAGAGAGCAACAGAGCACATCAGTTGGAGGACTGGCTCTGAGTCTGCAGCATTGGGGCTTGAATTTAACTCTGTGTAACTTTGGTATCATGGACAAAAAAAAAAACCTGTGAGTGCATAAAAAGGTGATATCATACCTACTTCAATGCATTAGCTCTTCAATAATGCGCATGTAATCTGTGTTCTACAAAATAAGTGAGTTCTGACCTCATTTCACCAGTGAGAACACAGCTGCAGCAAAGACTCAGGGAACTTGTCATGGACCTAAGGCTGATTTGTGGTCTAGTAAGAGCATACGTCCAAGATTTCTGACACTAGTACAGTGCTCACTTGGTGTTATGTCCAGGTCAGAATTACAGCACGGCCTTTCGGAATGATGTCCTAAACTCTGGGAGGTGAATGTATTATATATCCTTATGTAGATCAGCATTTTCAAACTAGTATTGGTGCTCTCATCTGACTCAATGAAGCGATTTGGACAGAACTGACAGAGAACAGTACGTCCTTGGAAGCCATGATTCTTCATTCCAGCCTACAGAAAGGAGTCCAAACGTGGATCACACCACATCATTTAACTAACACACTTATTCTTAATGCTCCAGGGACCTTCTGACACAGTCTGTGACTTAGGGACACCATCTACTTCTTCCCCAACACTCTTTTCCCAAAATAATCTCTTCCCTTTACCCTGGTACTCCCTCCACAGCATCTGGGAACTGGATGTACTAAACAAATTGTAGGGAGAGAGAAAGGCAGTCATCTTTGGGTTGCTTATGTTAAGACAATAGCAGAAAGGTTTGGCAGCCAGAGGTGTTTATGCCAGAGAATCTTGGCATAATGAGTGGAGAAAAGAGTTGGCAGATGAGTAAGGAAAAAGAAGAATTGACCATGGGCTTTCCAGAGCTCAGAGAAAAGAGTTAGGTGGGGCTGTGCAATGCAATGCATTGGGGCCATAGTCTTCTAGTCTGTTACATTACTTTGGATGCAAAATGTTCAGTATGATATATACAAGAGGGGAGTTTGGGGCAGGGGAGAAATTCAGTAATAGTGTACATAATTCTGAGAGATTAAAATACACCACACACACACACACACACACACACACTGCATGCACAGATAATAGCACTCTGTTGTGGAAAAGCTCATAGCTGTCTCCGATCTAGTTTAGCAGGGTACACAGTAATGCTGAGTTGAGCATGCAAGGCAAGCACCGTGGACAGGGTTCAGCATCTCCCAGCTCCACCCATGAAGATCAGGCAGGTCTGCAGCATGGAGTAACCTACAACATCGTTTCTGATCCTGTTAGAGTGTGACAGGGTAATGAGAAGTGAGAGCCGGTTTAAAGATGGAGACGCTCTATGCTGTCTCTTTTCATTTTTATCCACTATGGTAGGTAAGTTTTAGAACTGCCTAAAATATGCATTTCAGAGGGTAACCAATACTCTGTAGGAGATGATTCCATTCTTTTGCATTCAGAAGAGAGATTGACTTCAGACATCTTTAACACTCTAGGCTTTTGATGTGAGCTTTGCCTTCTGCCTCTCCTTCAGTTTTTTATTTCTGACTGAAATTTCCACATTTGCTCTTGTGCATTCTGGATTCAATGTTATTTTAAGTTGCATTGAATTCCATCTAATGCAAAAACATAGCATTTTAGCACTTTCAAGTGCACAATTTAGTGCCACTAAGTACGTTCAATTTTCATGTAAATGTATTATAATTTTTCTATACTATGATATTCTATGATGTGTTTTTCTTTCCCTTGCTTGAACTTAGGACCTCATTTATGCTTGGCATGCATTCTACCACTGAGCTATACTCCCAACCCTATTATGAGGTTTAGATATCTAAAAGTCTGTGGCTGAGGAGAGACCACTCCTTCTTGGAATGACTAATTATTGCAACCAACAAAGGGCTCAATAGGGACTATGTCTTTGCTATACGAATTACTAACCAGTCCTGAAACCTACCTCATCTACAGAGCCCATAATCCATAGTAATGTTCTCCTTCTTAATGATCCAGGGTTCTGTTACCAGTCAACTAAGGACTGCCCTGTAGCTGACAGCCTGCCACAATTATATAAGTTTGCCAATCCTAATTCTTTTACCTTGACATACCTTTCCTGCAGAAACCCTAATAAAGGCCACAGTTCGGATCTCATCATGCCCCCTGCCTCTTCTGCATCCTGACAGATGCACTGGCCTTGGCTGGATTTCTCTCAAATCTCGTCTTGGAAATGCTCTTGACTGACCTGAACATGAAAAAGTACCCATCACCATCACCTGCCTCCAAACTGAAAGTGTGAACCTCTGTGCAGGTGAACTTCCTCCTTCCCTAGAGCTGACCCTCGGTTTTTAACAAACAGCTGACATATGGGAAACACAGGAATTACTGAGTGATATATTGGAGACGTTCTAAAGTTCAAATTCAGGGGTTGCTGGGAACACATGAGCTTTCTGGCATTCGCTACCAATATACTTGCTGTGAGAAAATTACCAGGTGCTATTCTAATGTGCCGAGGGAGCTAACTGCTTGAGCCCCACTCCTGACAACAGGGTTTTGCAAAGACTACAGAGCTGAGACACAGATGGGAATCTTTTGTTTAAGCCGTATCCACCGAGGTAGGCATCCATGGAAAGCTTCATCTTGGCAGTTGCCAGGGACTGTTATTTAAACTACTTTCCTATCTTTTATCTGATACAAAGTAGCTTCAGAATCTTAGCGTGAATGAGCACTTTACTGGGTTCAGCTGTGAAATCCCCAGGGGAGACTTAATACATTCAGTTGCATTTCTTCTTTGACTTATTCAGTCTTGGCTAAGGCATAGGCTTTGGAGGCTTAACACCTCCCCCCAGGAGTGCAGACCCCTTTCAGAGAGGAGGAAGCCTAGGTTTAAAAGACTAGTTACTTTGTGTATGGAGTCAGACTGCTGTGGTGGGGCTCCAGCTTCGATGCCAGTCCCCAGACAGTACCTGACACCTCCATAGAAAGCCTTCGATGCCAAAGCTTCATGTGAGATTCAGAAGTGACTACTTGGACACAAAGTATGCAGACACTTCTGTAGAAGGGTTTGATGACAGCCTGTGGCTCCCGCTCCTCTGTTTAGAGATGGAAAACCTGTGACTTTTTTTTTTCCATCAATACTTCCCATCAGCTAACTCGCAGGCAGCACTTGCTGAGTTCTTCTACCTTCTGAATGACACTGTGGTGTCCTAGCTGCAGGCTTTGCACAATTAAATTAAAAAAAATTTTTTTTGGTTGTGGTATGGGGGTGGGGCCATGCTTTATAGAAATCTTTTCTCTCCAAACATGTTTATGGTCCATGGAAACTGAAGTCTACTTTACATCATAAGAACAACTGGGACATCAATATGGCTGCTGTGGTGGGGCTCCAGCTTCGAGTGTGATTGTGACCTTGGCACTGTGCATCTGGGAACTGAAATGAAGACCAGGTGCTAAAGTCTAGAGATCTGAGGAAATGATGGGCAGTATGATCTGTCCACCCGGGGTCCTCTAATGTCCTAGTCTGCACGTGGCTTTTGGAGTGATCCATGTGAGAGGCTAGGAGGGAGTTAGACAGACCTCTGATAGGTAGACAGATAGGAAAAGGAGTTGCAAATAGATAGTAAGTAAGGTTGGCAAACTTCCAGCTTTTTCTTCATAAACCCGACTGAAGACAAAGGCTAAACACACCTCTTTCCCCCCACCAGTTACACATGCACATGCATACCCTGACGGACCAGACAGACAAGTACAAGGCTGGATCAAGACATATTTTCCCCAAACTTGTAGACCTACCAGCTCCCCTGTCTTTGTTCAAACTGAGCAACACTAAATTAGGGCAGGAAGACCCCTTACAGACCCTTAAACCCAGCCTTCAGGGACAGGTGGGGCTTCAGCTTTCCTAGTTCCCCTGTGCTGTTCAGAGGGCCTTTCTCTCTGTGTATTGGCTTTATGTGTATACTTCCTTGCCCCTAAGAAAAGCCTTTCTTCACCTGCTGATTCTGTCTGCTGGGTCTAAGGCTTTTCCCTGGTTCTCCCTGCTACACTGGAGATTTTTCCTGCCTTCAGTTTCCTGATTGACAGAGAAAACAAGCTCAGTCACGGCCCAGAAAGTACCACATGAACTATCCATGGAGCAGAAATCAACACCCCTTGTCCATAGGAAGTTTCAGTCTTCCCTAAGTTCTCTTTCCATTTTTCAGGCCCTATTCATCATACGCATGTCCCAATTTCAGAATACTTAACTCTGTTTTCAATTTATGGAACAATTTTAGGGAGCAAAATGCTGTGAGAAAAGTGTAGCTAAGTGAAGCCCAGTGATGGGCATTGAGATGCAGTAGACTTAGGCTTGAGATCTGGATGAGGACTGATGGTCAGACACTCAAAACAGGGGACAGGAGAGGCCAAGCAAGTAGAACAAGTTGTAGATTA